CCTTCCTTCCGTATCATATCCCCACTACCTAGAGCAGAGGTTGACACATAGTAGATGCTCCTTAAATATTTGCTGAAAGAATGAATTATAGGGATAGCATGTGCAAATGCCCTGAGGCAGCAAAGAGAAATTAATGTTTAGAAGGAAGGAACGATTGGACCACAGGGAGAAGGGCGAGCCGATCCAAGCTGGGCTACAGGGGACATTGGGGAAGCACTGATCTTGCCCTGCCTGGCAGAGCTGCAGGCTGCCTTCCAGGAGTTTGACCGAGACCGTGACGGCTACATCGGCTGCCGGGACCTGGGCGCCTGCATGCGGACGCTGGGCTACATGCCCACCGAGATGGAGCTGATCGAGATTTCACAGCAAATCAGTATGTGCCTCAGACTCGTCCCACCCCCAGCTCTCCAGAGGCCAGGGCCAGGGTGGCTGGGCAGCCTGGGCACAAAGACACCTGCACAGGTTGGCTCCCAGAGCCCTGGGTCATTCCCAAGGCGAGGACTCTGCCTCCAAAGCATCTCACCATCCCCTATGAGGTGGGCGGGGCAGGGATCATTATCCCCACTTTTTAAACGAGGAAACTGGGTATCTGAAAGGTTAAGTGACTTGCCTAAGATCACACAGCCAGATTGTTGGCATTAGGACTTGAACCCAACCAAACTTGTCAGGAAAATACCGGAAAACCATCAGACAACACAGATGGCCCAGCCTGTGGGGCCCAGAGGGAGGGGAGGGCACATTCGGCAGGGCAGGGGAGAGGCACATGGGCCAGAATGGGAGGGCAGAGGGCAGAGGAGGGCCGGGGCTGGACGGGGGTCTCTGGCAGCCCAGGTCTCTGACGACCGTGGCCCCCAGGTGGCGGGAAGGTGGACTTTGAAGACTTTGTGGAACTGATGGGCCCCAAGCTACTGGCAGAGACGGCGGACATGATTGGCGTCAGGGAGCTGCGGGACGCCTTCCGAGAGGTGCGGCCTCTGGGGCTGGAGGGCGGGCATGGGCTGCGTGTCCGCTCTGAGTGAGGCCCTGAGCGAATGCGTGGGTCAGTCGGTGACCCAACGCCACGACCAAACGCCACCGCAGTTTGACACCAATGGAGACGGCTGCATCAGCTTGGGCGAGCTCCGGGCAGCCCTCAAGGCCCTACTGGGGGAGCGCCTCAGCCAGCGGGAGGTGGACGAGATCCTCCAGGACATTGACCTCAACGGGGACGGCCTGGTCGACTTCGAAGGTACCACCCACCCTGGAAGATTTTAACAGATAAAAAATGATAAAGACAGCATTATGACTGTGTGCCAGGCCCTGTGCTAAGCCCATCTGAGTCCTCTCCCATTAAGAACACACGAGGACCCAAGAGGAAGAGACTGTTGTTGTCCCCTTAAGCGGGAGAAGAAAGTCTGGGTGCTCAGCAAAAGGAAGTGGGTGGAACCAAGATCTGAGTCCAGGCAGCCTGATCCAGAACCCAGATCTTCCTCTACACTGCATTTCCACAGAGGGAAAATGAAGATTAAGTAGTCACAGGAAGCCAAGAAAAATCAATATGTAGAAATTCTCCAAAGTAGGCCCTAAAATTGTTTCTGAGCTTCCTAGTGGCCAAAGCAAAGAGGAAAACAGGTTCAGTTACAGGATGTTTTTTATCCATAAGACCAAGCCCCTCTCCCTGGCCCAGAGACCTATTCCCTATCAGATCCAGGGGAGCCCCTCACAGGCACTGCCTTGACTGTATTCCCTCTCACCTCAAGGCCAATATGTTGGCCTCACCCCTAGTGGGGTCCAGAGAGCAGACCCAAAAACTCTGGCTTTGTCCTGGCAGAGTTTGTGCGAATGATGTCTCGCTGAGCCTGCACAGAAGCTGGAGGCAGCAGAAAGGATTTGGGACCACAGCCACCACCCACCAGTGTGTTCCTGGAAGCCCATAGCCTCCAGCTGGCACCCTCTGCCTCTCCTCTCCGCCCTCCGCCTGTGTGCAATGCCTTTGCCTACCCTCACCCCCACCCCCAACCCCTCCACCAAGCCCCTTGCTCATCTCCATTTCTCTGACAATAAAGTACCTTCAGACATGGGGAGATGGCTTTCACCTGTCACTCCTCACCTTGGAGGACCCAGTATTCAGCCTCCAGAAGGCCAATCTGGGCCACAAGCCCCCTCAACTACGTGCTCTGGGCAGGCAAGGGCCCTCTCTGGATCCTGGCCCAGCTCACAGCAAGCGTCAGAAACATCCCTAGGTGAGTAAACCCGACCTGCTTCTCCCAGAGCTGGCTGTGCTCTGGCCGCTCATCCTGCGAATGGCCCTTCGGGTCCAGGATTACGCGAGGGGGCGGAGCGAGTATGTGAGGGCTTTTCTCAAGCTCGAGATCATTTGCTCTTGGAGGGGTGCTGCTCAGAGCCCTTCGAGAAAGAACTTTAGTTCTTCCCAGCTTTAATTCTCAGCTGGAAGGAGTGAGTTAGCTGTCAAGCTCTGGCTATTGGCCCCTTGGAGAGATACTTCAGCTTCTGGGCTGTCTTCTAGCTCTTCCCAAAGCCCCCAACCACTGACCAAGCACAGTGGGGGCTAGGTAGGACATGCACATTTCTGCCTGACTTAAGGCTCTTCTCCTGGGTGGTCCCTGCCGCAAGCTCCCCTTCCGTTAGCCATTAGCCGAGGGCCCCATCAGGCTGGTCGCAGATCACAGGCCCTTCTGCCAACCCTGCTTTCTCACGTTTTCTGTCTTGAATTCCTAACTTCATCTTGGTGTCTGCCTCCTTCGGGACACGTCTCCTCCCTCCAATTCTACTCTGGTCTTCATAGCCCCATTTTTCAGATTGAGGAAATCAAGAAGCCCAGTCCAAGTGCTTTGCCAGAGGTCACACAGCCCCACGGCTGTCTGTCCCCTCCAGTCCATGTAGCACATGTTGCTAGAATGCTCTTCCTAAAACATCGCTTGCATTTTGCGACACTCCTGTTCAGGAACTGGCCGTTCGGGTTAACTCAGCCCCTTTGCCTGGTACCGGAAGGCTCCAGGAGGGCAAGGCACTAGCATAAAGTCACACACAATTAGGATGAAGCGGAGGTGGGATTTGCATTCAGGCCTGGGGACTCTAAAATCACGGTACCAACAAAAGAGGTGTCTTGGGGTCAGAGTGGCCCCAGGACAGGCCTCAGCCTCTTCCAGCTGCAGCAAAGGCCTGGTCTGCCGAGCTCAGCCAAAAGAACTGCTGTCCTGCCCGCTGGGAGGACTGACGAGCCCTGACCTCCTGATCGAAAAAGGGTAGGAGGTTTCGGCCCCGTCCCTGGTCCTCACCATCACTGCTCCCAACAACATGGCCTTGGAACAGCCACCGGTGCCCTGCCCAGCACAGAGCCTGGACCCCGAGGTGCCATGGCTGGCTGCAGCAGCTTCAACACCATTCACCCGGAAGATCCCAATTAATCCTTAATCCTCAATTAAGTGATCTCCCTGCCAGCCAGTCTGGCAGGCCTGGGATGAGGAGGAGTTGCCCCACGCCCGCAACTTTGCTGGGAGCCATGGCCCACCCTCCCTCCCACAACCCTTTGCTGGCTGGCACAGATGGCGTTGCCGCCTGTGTCCTCTTCACAGGGGCTGGGGGTAGTGATGCACATGTGCCAGCGGAAGACCAGGGCCTGCTCGGGGTCAGCTTCCCACCACCCTCTGGCCCCAGCCTGGCAGGCTCTGAGGTCTGAGGACTAAGAGGTTTTCTGGGCTAGTCTTAATTGTCTGCACTCTGTCTGCTATTACCCTCAGATCTCATGCATACCCTCCCACCCCCAAAAGGCTGCTGGCCCAGAAGGTCCCAAACAGACAACAGCTGGAGCTGGGACCGGGGCCGGGAAGGAAGAGTAGGCAGGCGGGGCCTCTGCTGAGCTGAGAGGCCCTTCCCGGCCTAAGAGAGGCACCTGCCACCCACTCCACCAGCCGTTGCCAGTCAGAGAGCAGGCCAGAGCCACGAGACCTTCTGATTTTCCAAGAGAAGCTAGACATTCCGATTTTTATGTTAAATCTACTTTAATAGTTTGAGTATAACATACATTCACTAAGGTGTATCAATCTTTTATAAAGCTCATTGAATTTTTACCTGTATGTGCACCCAGGTAACCATCAAGATATTACATCCACTTATTTTAGAACGGGTCTAGGTTTAAAGAATTATTTTGAGGCTAGTACAAGAAGTTCCCGTACACTCCACACCCAACTTCTCCTATGTGTTAGGCAAGGTTCTCCAGAGAAACAGAACCAATAGATGTGTGTGTGTGTGTGTGTGTGCGTGTGTGTGTGTGTGTGTGTGTAAAGATATTTATTATAAGGAATTGGCTCAGGTGATCGTCGGGGCTGAGCAGTCCCAAGATCGATCTGCAGTCAGCAGGCTGGAGACCCAGAGAGCCAGTGGTGTAGTCCCAGCCCAAGTTCAAAGGTCTGAGAACCAGGAAAGTTGACGGTGTTAGTTCGAGTCTGAGGGCAGGAGAACACTGATGTCCTAGTTCAACAGTTGGGCAGGCAAAGTCCCCTCTCACCCAGTCTTAGAATCAGCCGTTTCTACAAGGAACGCTGGTTCATTTTATTGGAGAACCATGGTAGACACCAAGATCTGGATGCTAGATTGCTCCGAGGCCCTCTAAACTGATAGAGTGAGGAGGTATCTATATGCACTAAGCTGTGTATATATACATTTACAAATGTTTCTGTATGTAACCAATTGCATCTATACTGAGCTAAACATGAGTTAATATTGATGTCCAACCCACTACCACATGGACCACTCTAGCCTCTTCCCCTGGCTTAGCTGCAACTTCTCATTCCAGCAGTGAGAAATAATCCATCCTACATCTACTTAATTTTCAATTCCAGTGTACACACATGTGTAGTGCTTTCGGCATTAAGCCATACCCCCATGGGAACCATGTCACTCACTAAAGTACTGTGCTATGTTCTTACAGATTCCAGATTAGCACCTTATTCCCCCACCCCTTTGGAGAGCCTGTTTCACACGCTTGCAATACAGCTAGATTCTTTTGTCATATTCTGCATCCCATCCTGGGATCCCAGATCACCTTAATGATTTTTTTTTTAAACTTGCACACATCAAAGTTTGCTCTTTGACAAATGCTTCATGTCTTGTATTCACCATTGCAGTTTCATACAGAATAGTTTCACTGCCCTAAAAAAAAAGTCCCCTATGCTTCACCGATTTAATTCTACTCCTTGGCACCCATGGCAAGCCGTTATTCGTTTACCTTCTGTACAAGTTTGCCTTTTCCAGAATGTCATACAATTGGAATCATACGGTATGTGGCTTTGTCAGACTGGCTTCTTTCATTTATCAATATACCTATCTGTGTTATTTTATGGTTAGGTAGATAATTTCCTTTTGTTGCTGAATAACAGTCCATGGTATGGATATATCACAGTTTATTTGTCCATTCACTTATTGAATGCCAACTCCATCGGGAAGACTTGTGTGATGTCACCAGGTAGGTCCCTTCCTCTAAGTTCCAATGAGCCCTCTTCCAGTCTCCCCATCGTCTTACTGTGTGCCTTTGCCTCCCTGTGTCTCCCTGACACTAGGAGTTCCTTAAAGATAAAGGCCATGGTCATTTATTTTCATATCAGAATCAGTGTCCAGCACAAGGCCTGAGATAGAGGATGAAGTCAGAAAATATTTGTTGGGTGAATGAATGAATGTCCTGGGGATGAGAAAAATCTACAGACTTGGGGGCATGAAGGGCACACGAGGCCGGAGAAGTTTGGGGGAGAAGTTGCCTGGGAGAAAGGGTTACTGTTCGGAGGAGTTTGCAAAATCTCGGATAGTGAAGAATACGATTTGACGGGAGAGGTCTGGGTGGAGAAATGGAAAGGTTCTGAGGCGCTGGAGTGAAACAGGAAAGCGGAGACTGAAACCATAAGCACTTTATGAATATTCATTTAATGCATACAATAATCCTACGACATAGTTATTAGCGTCCCTATTTTACAAATGGAGAAATTGAAGTGAGCTTGCTCCAAAGGAGACCGCTAGTGGGGGTGGTGTAGGATTCCAACCGTCAGTCTGACTCCAGGAGGTGCTCTTGTCCATGATCCATTTGATACAGGGCCTGGCATACAGTAGTTAACGAAGGTTTTCAGTTCCTGCTACTGTCATTATGAGGCACAGAGGAGCAGGCTGAGGAGACTTTGAGGTCGCCCTTAGAGCTAACGCCAGCCTAGACCCTAGAAGCAGGTAATTCGGTGGAAGAGGCGTGGTGGTAGCGTTGGTGAGGAACCCGTTGCCATGGGAACAAGACAAGGCTTTACGGAGCGCATGCGCAGATCGGGCACAGGTTGCTGAACCCGCGAAAGGTGACGTAAAAGCGCATGGGGTGGGGCGCAGGGCTCGGAACGTCAAAGCCCCACGTCCTCCGGCATCCGGGTGGAGGAAAGGTGCGTCCCGTGGCGACGGCGGCGGCGGCGGCGGCGGCGGCAGCGACGACAGCAGCTCCAGCTGAACCGAGACCGGGCGGCGCGGAGCTGACGTGCAAAGCAGCGCGAATGGAGGCGTAAGGGCGGCGCCCGTGCCCGTGAAGACACCTTCCGCGCAAACGGCAGCGGACCAGACCCAGATCCAGGCTTTTGAGGCCCCGCCTCTCGGGCCTTGGAACTAATCGGATAGAGAGCGCGCGGGCCCCGGCCGCGAACTCGCCAATTGCGGAGGGTGTCGGCCACCGCCCAATCCGGAGCAGACAGGTGCGAGGTCCGGAAGGCGGAGACCAATCAGTAGCGGTTGCGACCTGTTGGGGTCGGGCTCGACCAATGAGGAGGCCCGAGTGACATCTTTGCGCACCAATCGAGAGTGAGAGAGCATTTGTGCCCGCCCGCCCTTCCGGCCTGTGCGCTATTTACCAGGGGCGTGCAGCCCGCCTGCCAATCAGAACGCGGCTGAGTGGCCAGGCAGCCAACCCCGGAGGAGCGGCCGGCCGGCGTCCGCCGCACCCAGGAGTTGGGGATGTCCTACAAACCCATCGCCCCCGCCCCTAGCAGCACCCCGGGCTCCAGCACTCCCGGGCCCGGCACCCCAGTCCCCACAGGTGAGGATGCAGTTCCATCCCTGCTTGCCTGTCCGGGTGGTCAAGGTCTCGAAGAGAAGACGGCCCGAGTTCTGCAGTACTGGGCCTGCCGCGTACCCTCCCTGAGCCTCAGTTTGCTGGCCTGTGAAGTGGGCGTGGTCACGTAAGGGCCTGGAGGGGTCCAGGGGGAGGGAATTGTCCCTGAAGTTGAGCATCCAGGAATGAATCCCTTCAGAAGGAATGGGGCGAGTGGGGTCGGGGGCCTGGAGCGCTGGGAGGAGGCGTCCCTGTCCCGCGCTGACCTGTTAACTCGCGCATGTTGCAGCCGGAAGTGTCCCATCGCCGTCGGGCTCGGTGCCGGGAGCCGCTGCCCCTTTCAGACCACTGTTTAACGACTTTGGACCGCCCTCCATGGGCTATGTGCAGGTGAGTGGGACCGAGGGATTGCCTGTCATTGGGAACTGGAGGCCCTCTGGGGCCTGATCTCACTGCCCTGTTTTCTTTTGACTTAGGCAATGAAGCCACCCGGCGCTCAGGGCTCCCAGAGCACCTACACAGACCTGCTGTCTGTCATAGAGGAGATGGGCAAAGAGATCCGGCCCACCTATGCTGGCAGCAAGAGCGCCATGGAGCGCCTGAAGAGAGGTGAGTGAGACCAGGCCCGCTCACCCACCCCCCCAC